ACTTTAGTTTTGATGCAAAAACGCATGATCGCACCGGCTCGCCTGGTGCGTTCCAGCCTTTGTATACATTTTGTGCTGGAACAAAAAGCATAAGGTCGAGACCATGTCTGCGCGCTGCTTGTGCGCGAATGTTTGCACGTGTGCTCCGGTTGTGCTTTGTCTGTGGCTTTCATCTCGGGAGCTAGAAATGTTTGGAAGCTGAAACTTTAGTATGATATTCTCCGTCAAAGTAAGATCCAATGATTTCAGATTCAGTTCCCATCTACGCGTGGATCTCACTTTGGACACACGAAATCTTTAGCAAGCAAATCACTAACTTGGGAGCCTGAGAAGCTAGAAAACTGAAATTCTAAAGTAATATTCCAAGTCCATCTATAATCTGAGAAATTTGGACCCAGTCTCTACATACGCTCAGGTCTCTTGACGGAGAAGTGGGTGTTTTGATGTGAAATGTCTTTATCTCGAGAACCGGCGAGGTGAAAAGTTGAAAGTTTAGTGATGATGCTTCTTCTCAATGTACAGTCTTCGAACTTTGAATTCAGCTGCCACATACGTTTATGTTTCAGACACGGACACATGAAGTATAATGTAATAAGTTTTTAACTCGAGAACCAGAAAAAATAGAGAGCTAAAATTATTGGAGAATGTTTTCTGTTCATGTCTGATTACGCGAAAGTTGTTATGAGCGCACATGTTTCATTAATAGCACGTGGAATTTACGGTAAAAAATTTTATAGCTCGAAAATCAGATAAAATTTCAATTATTTTTGCATACACCAAACATTAAAACAACGAACATTTTTACCAGCAAGTGCCTGCTGGGCAGGGCTGCGCGAAGTGCATGACTACACGGCTAACTTGGTGTGCGATGCTATTAGTTATATAAAAACGCTTAGTATACAATCGTGCAAGCTCTCTTCCTTTCTTTTGTTCGTGTGGTAACATATCTATGTATAGACTGCCAAACTGCAGGGATACGCAAGCAACTCTGGCGGTTTTGGATACACTAGACACGGATTTCAATAAAGAAGATGATCCAATTGCTCGCGAACGGGAGATAATGAAGAAGTTTGGGTGGGAGGAAGAGTATTTTCATGGCCGAATCAATCACTGGATGAAAGCTAAACCGAAAATTTGGGCCTTATTTGATGAGCCGTATTCATCTCATGCTGCAAAGGTATACTGATGCTGCACTTTTGCCGGGTTCACCGATGAAATTTTCGATTATCGATTCTGAGCAGGTGTCTCTCCATTCTGGACAATATCAAGATTGAAAAATATTGCAGAAAGACATCTTGCACAACACGATACTTCGTCTTTTGATGCGCGCAGGAAACTTTTACAGGTGATAGCGGCGATATCAGTTTGTTTCATAGTGATCAGTATGGTCTCATTTTGCATGAAAACGCACCCAAATTTTCGTATAACTGTATTGTCCATAAGAAATATCACGAATAATTATATCGGAATACAAAGGACGTCCACGGAACCTCACCGAGCTTTTAGTCAGGTAAAAACGTTGCTGGATTATCGTTGACATTCAGATTCTATTTGTTTCAGTCGCTTTTTTGTCGAACAAAAGTGAGTCTTTCAGAACCCTTTGCTGCAGCTATAAGCAGGTCCGATTTCATTACAAAATCTAAGAGGAATATGGCTGTAAAAAGTAAAGAAGGGGAATATCTAAGCAAATGGATGTTGATTTGACCGATGTTAAATGAAATGAACTCCGGACACTTCCAGATCAAAAGCATTTGAATTCGTGCATTACCAATTTTCATGGCTATTCCGGAAGTATAAAGTGTTCTGTGATGTCGTTTTTGCTTCACGGCAATCACGAAAAGTGGATTTTTGAGGGCATCAGGAGTAAGGAATATTGAGAGTGCATTTGACCAAATCAGCATGACGCCATCATATGGCCTGCACGTTGGAAGTAAAATGAATGTCGGAACTTTACAAATGTCAGAATTTCTACCGCATTTCCTCACCGATTTCCTCAGCAACTGAAATAATTCGTTTCTTGTGCTTCTGCCAGCTAAAAAGGGAGGTCAAGGGCGCCGACAAGATTTTGCAGTTCTTAGTGACGCAAATTATTTGAGGAACATTTTTTTCATTTACTATAGTGCACGAATTCGGCATTTGACTTCGCTTCACTATGCATTTTTGCACATTCATGCACATTCTAAAACTCATATTGATGAGGGTTTGTCTGCATATGAATGTTTTTATGTGGGTGTGATGACTGCATATCTGTTTGCTTAGCATCTTCAAATTTTAAATCGGTAAGCCAGAAAGCTGAAATTTTTGAGTTTATTTTTTGGTCCTTGAAGTCTAAGTGTCGACCTTCTAAAATCTTTGAGAACCTCAAGGAATTGGGTCAAACTTAATTGTTCGCTGCTTTAAACATCATGTGAGCATGGCGATTGAATGGAACAGCGGAAAGGCTGGCTTACCTTTAAATACGGGAGTCAGAGCAGGATGCAGCGCACTCAGAAAAGAAAATTTTTTTCTACGTTTTTTAGCTCTTGCTTACTTTAGCCCTCTAATTGCAGAAAAGACAGACAGTACAGGAATCACTGAATTTTACCTGCTAAAACCGATGCCGATTCTAGTAAAGGAATCATTGAATTTTACTTGTTAAAACCAAGTAGTTATTGGGCACTTGTGCAAAAAAAAACACACTTTTGTTCCAGTCTCTGTGCATGTTGTTATATCAAAAGGTAATTCAGTACTTCTCAGCTAGGTCACCTGAAATTTTATTTAAATCAACCTAAAATTTTATTTATATCAGCGATTTTGACAAAACATTTAACATGAATAAGCAACATTCCTATATTTCCTGTATGTGGGCAGTTTATTCTTCAGATTATTGTTGTTTTAGATTGAGTATTTATGTAATATCTGGTTTACGTTTGAAATATTGGTGCGATTTATATTTTGTCCAAGCAAATGGCGTTTTCTCAGATCCCCAATAAACAATATAGACCTGGTTAGCAATTTTCGACCCAATTCTTAGCTTTTTCTCGGTCTCTCTCTTACATCACCAGTAACTCCTCCTTGTGTTTCTGAAAATTTAACAGTGAACTGTTTAATCTAGTTAGTAGGCAGGAGTATGCTTTTTTTGTGTGCTTTTGCTCAATAATTGTTTTTTGCGGTATAAAATTTATAGCAGTAGCTTACTGCAAACGAAGAATGCCAGGCTAGAATGCAATAAGGCTCAAAGCTGTTTTCTCTCATTCAGCACTATTCCAGTAAACCAACTTTCAAAACATCTGGGCTTCTAATTCAGGTCTAGGTTATGTGAAAAACAGAAATGGATGTGGATGGGTTTGTAGCTTCTGTGCAAAATGGCCGACAGCTATATCTATCGTTTTTTCCAAACAATGCGCACACACATATACACATGCTGAAAGGAACTCGTCAAATGCGCTTTTTGCATTAATTACTCAAAATGGCACAAAAATGAAGAGATGCTACTTTAGGTGTTGATGGTAAAGAGAATGACGAGAGGCAGTATGCTTGTAACATCTTCCTGACTCGGCATGCAAGCAAAAAAGTAAAATCCGACTGCTAGCACACTGCTTGATTTACAACTGAGGAAGATCATGTATTTATAAATAGTAGTCTCGGGAAATGAAGCAGTTGCGCTTTGATGACAGCCAAAGGAGCGATGCTGGTATCAGGTGGAGCCGGTATAAGGTGCTGGTATCAGATATCAGGCGTCTGCTGATATCAGGTATCAGGTGGAAGCTGGGTATCGAGAGTAACTGAGTTGGCGGGTTGAAGGGACGAGGGTTAAAGGTGAAAAAGGTTCGACAGGATAACCAGTGTTTAGAATTTGTTGAATTCCACTGCCAAGTTACATCAGCAAATAATAAGTTAAAAAGACTTAATAAAAAGCCGTTTTATCCTTCAAATGTGCCTTTCTGCACCTCAACTAATGTGTTCCCTCGAAATTTTCTGAGAATATCTGCTCCTCATCGTACACATATGCCAGCTTCGAGTTCTGCCTCTCAAAATCTTTCTGTTCCCCCTTTTTCTTCCTTTTTTCGTCTACGTTTTACTCTTATCCGTGCTCCCTTCTCCCTATAACTTTCGATTCTAACCAGCAGCTGTACTGCTTGCTTTTTTCCCCAGTTTTAACTCATAATCGGTGCTCAATGTGTTAACGTGTTCATTCATTGGCACTTTTCACTTCATTGTTTTGTTGCCTGAGAAATTGAAGATTGCTACGCTAAGCTTTTACATGGATATCGTATTGGTGCGCATATTGGACGAGGAAGCGCCCAAAGATGTTGTTGAGTTTTTGTCTATGATCCGCATACTTCGGTTATTCAAGCTTACGCAACATCATCGGGGCCTCCAGATTCTCATTCATACATTCCGTGCCTCCGCCAAAGAGCTAATTTTGCTGGTATGAAATCAAGCATTAATATTTCGTTGCGATACTTGCAAACTTCTTAAATTTCATAAATTTAAAAAAACAGAAATTTAAAATCCAAGTAACAGCGCGTGCTCAGGGTGCACGTTGCTACTTGGGTTTTGAATCTATGCGAGACATTAGCATGCATAAATGCTTCCATTCTGCTTCTGTGCCTTACGGTAAACAGTATTCTTGTAAAGTTTTAGCTTTCTTGTCTCTCTAAATGTTGAGAGAATAGAATGATGGCAGCGATATATTTGTACGCGTTTGAACACTGATATATTTGTACGCGAGGAATATGTGTAATCAAAAATCCATTTTACAACTGCTTTCACCCACATGAACAGCAAATATCCTTATTCTTAGCACAGCTACTGAATCATTTCGGTGTCAACAGTGTTCAAAACTATGTTCACTTGCATGCGCTCGTATCCTGAACATGCTTTAGAGCTGAGTTTGAAAGATTTAGATCGTAAAACATAGATGTTGGAATACCCCTGTAAAATTTCAGCTTTCTAGCTTGACTGGTTGGCGAAATGACCTTTCATTGCAAGTATACTTGACGTATTCAAAGGTAAGACAGAGGCATATGCGTATGCCAAAACTCATTTTAAGCCTACGTCCAAACGTATCGAAAGCGTGCATTCCTAAGTTAGGACGTTTTAATCAGCTTGCTTCCAAGTGGTCATTTTGCCGATGATGAATCGATTTCAGCTTTGATGTATCAATACATGTGACGTAGGCGTGTATGATAGTTGAATTTGAAACCTTTAACTCACAAAAGAGAAGAGGACATTCTCGCTGCATAAGTTTAGCCACCGTTTGCATATTTTTTATTTCTTTCAGGTGTTTTTTCTTATCCTTGGAATTGTAATATTCGCAGCATTGGTATATTACGCAGAAAAAATGGAAAATAATCCCGATAATCAATTTGTTAGTATACCTCTTGGCCTGTGGTGGGCGATATGCACTATGACCACGGTTGGTAATCTTTCAACCCATCGGGCACTCAGTCAGGCACGACTATTCATTCATTTCAAGCTTACAATATTTGAATTTTTGAAATTTTGCATGAAAAAGCCTATGCCTGACTAAAATTGCTCACCTGATTTCGAAAGAGCACGAAATTTTTTATTATTTTAAAACTGAAAACCAAAAGAGTGATAAGTTATCAGGTAGGCTATGGTGATATGACGCCGCATACAGCGCTCGGTCGCCTAGTGGGCAGTCTGTGCGCAATAATGGGTGTGCTGACCATTGCGCTTCCCGTCCCCGTCATCGTCAGCAACTTCGCAATGTTCTACTCCCATACGCAGGCCAGGGAAAAATTACCCAGAAAGAGGAGACGCGTACTGCCCGTTGAACAGGTAATTTGCTATTTTAATTTTCTTGCTCTTCATATCTGTGAGACTGTTCTGTAAAAATGCATCTTGAAATACGTAAACAGATCGATGGGTAGTTGGGAATTGACGTGAGCCAAAGGCACCTACCTCTTTGATATATTTCAAAGAATGGTGGCATATTCTGTTGAATAACGCATAACGCGCATAGTAATTCATTCCTTTTAGTTGCAAACAATAAATAATTGCCAACTCACAGGCTGCCCGTGTGAAGATGCGTTTTTTGCATAGCTCACCGCAGATTTTTGTCGCTGACGACACCGGTTTTTCTGGCAGACACTTCTAGCCAAAAGGATTTCCGACTGGTCGCCAGGACTGCCAGGAAACATCCCTTTAAATTCCAGTCTTCTAGCTTCTCACGTTCCCGCGTTAGCAACTTACCCGAAAGAAATTTTCACGGACTCGTACGTAGGTACCACACTTATCCGCGGGTTTGAGCTCGTTAATACTTACTTTGGCGGGAAACATCCCTTTAACATTTCAGCCCCCTCCCCCCCCCAGCATTTCTGGTCCCCGAGTTAGCAGCTTACCCGTAAAAAACTATGGCGGG